GTCGGCACATACAAGTGAACAAGCGTATGCCGACAAGTGCCGAACACGCGGCAGCAGTGAGGAGAAAGGACGCCAATTTTCAAGTGTCAACTCATTCGACGAGACCAGGCGACACATTCAAATTCGATAAAGCCAAAATTCTCTCGAGAGGTGACAATCGCGTGATCCGCGAGTCGCTTGATTCATGGATTACGGCTTCTCCGTTTATAAACAAGCGCAATGACCTCCCCAACCGATATTCAGTGCTGAGACTCAGTTTGGACAAAGCAATTCACCTCTCGGGGAACGTACAGGCGAACACACCTTCCAACGCCAGTGCTGGTGCGTCGGATGACGGAGCAATCATCATGCCAAAATCTAGCACGGATGATCGAATTTCAGTAGGTCAAAACCCGCACACTAGGCGTCGAGAATAACGGCGCAAGGGGACAACTATTCCCAATAAAGGGGAGACGTTAATTTTCAGAAGTGTGCAGTAACATAGCGACTACGTCCTGTTAATACTGCAACCCCTGTATACGAACTACTCGTTTCTGCTACTGTCGCTGGTGATGGGTTCGAAAGATAACCCGAAACATCGAGCGAATAAAGTTCTGGTTTCAGCAATCGCGTCTAATTCTTTCCACATGCAAGTATGCCCGCAATGCCGGTGCTGATGGATTGGTAGTCTGCCACACCAGTTGATCCTAAGGCAATGAGCCTCATTTATCTATCGGACGTGAACGCTCTTCCGGGGGTCTTAAAAATCAGCCCAGATTAATTTTAGGAAGAGAGTAAGCTCATATTCCCATTTGTTATGCTTGCTGAAATAATAGAATGCATGTTAGTTATTGATACACTTATAGGAATATATTACTAGAATATACTATTCGCTGGTCTTAGTAAGTATGATTAATAGAATTAGCACTCGTAGCAGTACCATATTACCTCTAGCAGCCATATCCTAGTCCAAACTTAGTTAAATGTGACACAACTTTTGGTGTACGGAGGTGAGGCGTGGAAACCAAGGCAAGCGTTGCTGTGCTCAGGGCCCCAAACATTTAGCACTCAGAATATTTTAAACCCAGTTTTTCACTCCTCGTTGAGATCAAGGGAGTATGAGCCCCAGCGTTGGCTTGATCAGCGTCACATCTGACAAATGTTAACGTCAATGTTAGTACCAGTACTACTACCGCGCAGCTACATTGCGAGCTAGTAGTACTAGAAATAGGCGTAGCTGTATCTGTCTCGGCCTAATTGAGTCTGTCTTTGACAACTACTGGAGAAGAATGAGGGAAGATAGTGCGGTAGCACCCGCATAAAGTCTACTGTCCGCTAACACTAAGTTCGGCGGTGTTTTCTGGCTTGCATTGGAGAAAGCGGCCAACGCCGGATACGACCTGGTCTTCTTGACCCATGGTGAAGGTAAAGAGTACGTTTGGCGCTAACTACGTCCGCTAGCACTTTAATCTATCCTCCGTAGCCACTTAGCGTCACTGTAACAACCTGTTGGTGCATCTGGTGGACTCCATTGAAATCAATGTTTGAACTATCAAGTCAATGTGCGCACACAAAACCTCGAAGACATTTATAAGTTTGGCTCTGCAGACATACAAGCAACGGCGCAACGCGCAGAAAAGAGTGTGAGCTGCTTGAGGCCTGTCCCTCTGATGAATCGCTATATGGACTTGCTCCCAAAATAGCACGGTTTGGGCTAGCTGCCAGGTGACACTTAACCATAACTGTTACGGGGCGGCGTAAGTGCACGTTGCCCGAACGACGTCCCCACGCCAAGCGTCCGTTACCGCTCTCACCCACGCAGACAATGTGCATTGTCTGACACCCGAGCCTAGCTACGGCCGGCACAGGTCTAACACAGCTGGCAGCGGTCCACCCACACAAATGCATTGTTTGACGTTGTGCTCAACTGCCCAGCCAA